TAAAAATATATATATATATATATATATATATATATATATATATATATAGGTGTAATAATAAATTTAAATAACTACTTCTATAGTCGGTTTGGTTCGATTTTTTCAGTTATTTTTTGATTAAAACCAAAACCAAACCAAATTTGATCGATTTTTAAAATTCAAAACCAAAACCAAACCAAACCTAAAAAGTATCGATTTTTTTGATCGGTTTAGTTCGGTTTTCGGTTTGGTTCGATTTTTTGAATTTTTATTAACACCCCTAATTAAAGGTAGAGAAAAAGTACTATAACTTACAACATTATATTACTAAGAATATATGAAAAATTGTTTTCGACAACCTAAAAGTAGGCTACAATAATCAGCAAAGTTAGAGAGCAAACGGAATTAAACTAGTTGTACAACTCACAAGAGAGTTGATTCGGAGCTTATTGATAAATCAATCATCTTTCCGAAAATCCAATATTCACCTGATCCTGTCTTTTAATTATTTCTGGTGACTAATTATTATTTTAATCTATCTATCGATATCTACATCTATTTATATTTATATCTATCTATCTATCTATATTTATATATATACTATATTAAAGACATGAATCCCTTAACAAAATATCATTCGCCTTTATTAACCTTTGAAAATCAATTTTACTTTAGACAAACTAGTCATTTAATTATTTTTCTAATATGTAAGACTTTAAAGTCAACTAATACTTTGCTTGTTACAACCTTCTTCTTTTTGAAATACTACATAGAAAGTCATAATATTTAGGATATTAAAATTAATTATAATTTAAATTATATAGATTAAATAATTTATTTATACTATTTTTCTTTTTATTGTACGTAAACATACGCTAGGAACATGCATATTTGAAGTTGATAAAGTAACTCCAAAGTTCCATTTTAAGAAATATTTTTCTCCGAAATTAGATATATAAACTATTGTATATACCTCAATTTTATATAATTATTTTCTATAAAATATACTTCTGTCATTAAAAGTGTAATTCATGTTTAAACTTTTTGTTTTTAAAATTATTTATATATTGACTTGGTGTATCCTAAGGCTATTTTTTTTTTTAATGTTTTATTCACAATGAAATAAAGTAAGGATTCTTTTTTAGTTTTTCATCTAGCGTACGATTTTCACTATGTGCCCTACTTTCCGAATTCTATTAAAAAGTTTCACTTTGAAGGTTAAAATGATTGATTTTATATTTACAACTTGAACACAAACTAATTAAAGATATAGGAATACGTAGCCTTTCACAATGGTTTCGCTTTTCCATACTACTTTTCACAAACTGTGGAAACCTAAAATTCCCCGAAACAAGGAGAAATTTGGAATATTCACTATCCCACTGAATTTGTAATTTTGATATTAGGTCCCACACCTCACCAAAAGTCCAAAACCCACCGTTAATGTCATTTTCTTTTGTAAAAATAAGAAGTGGCCCAAAAGCAATTCAATGCCTACCCATCTTTTTCAAATTTCATCATCACTACTTAGTCCAAACACTAATTTATTTTGTGTGGCCAAACTAAGAAAAGAAATACATGTTCTTATATATAGTAATAGTTATTAACAACCGCAACCTACAAAAAATTTATTCGGGCCTTTAGACAATTAGGAAATTCATGCAAGTATAGTTTAGGTGTATTTTTCCCTTGCCACAGATCGAGACTGTCACCTTGTTCTAACTCTAAGGTGAAAATTTCAGAAAAAATGAATCAGAAAACAGAAAAAAGTTACATATACATTTTAACATTCGTTCACATTTATATACTATATCAAAAAATATATTGTCATAAAAAATCTTGAACATTTCGTATTTACTTAATATATTACACATTTCCCCTTCCCTCTTTGTACCGGGGTCCAGGCAGGGGTTAATTAAATATTACGTACTATCTTTTTATTTTTTTTTACTTTTATTTTTTAAATTCCCTGATGAAAAACCACTACCGGAGTTTCACTCTTATTATCCTTACGAACATAAAAGAAGCCTATAGAACTATTGTGTTTCTTTTCAAATATCATAAACTACGTCTCATAATAAACAAAATTAAGTGAAACTATGGTTTAAATAAAAAAAATCTCCCCGTCGTGACTTATACGAGACTTCAAAATGCTTGACGTGGAAGGCGAATGAAAGAATCTATAAGGAAAAGAAAAAAGGAGAAAGAATCAGACGGCTCAGATTCACTTTCTATTTCCCATTTATCTCTCCACCCCCTCATTCCATTTCTTCTTCAAAAAAATCTCTCCCACTCCACTCTCCATAATTCATCAGCCCATCACTCTTCTTTCTCTGAAAAAACTAACACCCAAAAAAGAGAGCAAAATGAAGGGGTGTTATTATTCTTAATTTTTTTTAAGAAGAAGAAAATGATGTTGGGTAAAAGAGGACGTCCACCGATGAGGAGGACAACGAGCATGACAGGGATCACCGTTGATATAGGGACAGGGACTGGCAGTGAACAAGAGCCGTCTGATTATAGGCCTAAAGTTATGGTTGATCATCATGATCAGTTTAAGGGTTCATCAGAGAAGCAAGTAATTATTAGTAGTACTACTGCAAGTGGATATGATCATCAATATTCTATGGCGGCGATGGTGTCGCCGAGATACCAAAGGAGAATTTCAGGCGAAGGTTTTCAAACAGAGACGGCTAATTTCTTGAGAACTTGTGGTCTTTGTAACCGCCGGTTGGCTCCCGGACGAGACATCTACATGTACAGGTACAACTTTAATGTCTACCAATAAATGAGACAGAATAAGTTTTTGGTATAATAATCGTCCAAATTTATGTGATACAGTTTGTTTAAAAAGATAACATATTTATATATTTAGAAATAATTTGTTTTTAAAATTCTCATAAATATCATAATATGTTTTAAATCAGAAATTTTAAGTCTTTTTTAATTAATGACATATTAACAGATTTATAGGATTCTTTAATAGACTGGAATACTTATGGAGTCAAAAAGGAGTGAGTAATAGGTAGGAATCTGATGGCGAGAAACTTCATTTTCCTATTGATTTTCTTTTTAGCACTTATTTTACGTACTGAAGAAAAAAGCTAACAAAAGGAAAGAAAAAGAATTAAAAAATAGCTAGATTTACAATTTGTTGAAGAACCTAATTTGCTAAGAGATTAAAAATAGCTAGATTTACAATTGGTAATTGAAAAATAGCCACAGTTTCAAAAGTAAGCGAAATTTAGCCACTTTTCATGTAAAGATAAAATCTAAACAAAAACACTTATAAAAATCCAGAAATATTCCAGCATAATATGCGGAAGTTTGAATATTTTTACATATGAGCTTCCAGCATAATATGCTAGAGTTTTATAATGTGCTGGAGTTCCATCATAATATGCTTGGAAGTTTATAACTTTATATGTAGGAGCTTCATAATCCCGCATATTATGCTGAAACTTTTCGTGTGTCGGAGTTCCAACATATATAATATGTCGGAATCTTATACGCAGGAGCTCTATATTCCAGCATATTATGCTACAACTTTCCGTGTTTCAGCAAAACAATGATTATTTTTTTAATGAGTTTGCAAACGCTGGCTCTTTTTTAATTACCAGTCCAAAAACTGACTAGCACGTGCTATTTTGACGATGTGGTTTCAACTTACAAAATATATATGGAGTTACACTTCAAATTTCATATATGGAGCTGAAGGGTCGTCTTCTGCTTAGCTGAAGAGTCAAGTTACTATTCTTGTCCTTTTGTGGTTGTCGTTGCCAGAACGGGCATCTGTCTTCTTTGTGAAGGGGCAAGATGCTTATTCCTCGTCTGCATAGACATGGTAAACTTGGGCTATACCTTGTGGGTCTTCCATGTCTCCATTGTTTTGATTTTCCGTTGAGGAAGATGCTGATGCTGCTTCTAGCATGGCTTGTACTTCCGTTGGACTTGCTGTATCAATATTTGCTAAGACTTCTAATAGTCTTTTTTTTAATTCTATTTGGAAACTGGATGATCCCATTCTGCTTGCTGCTTTGGACTTGGACTGAGTTGCTTTTACTTCAGGCACTCACCCTTTGATCCTTGGAATTTTAACTAAGTATTTAATTCGGTCAATTTCTTCAATGGTGAATGACCAGTTGATTATGTAGGAAATTCGTTTTGCAAAGTAGTATTTGCATAACTTAATATGATCAGGTAGCGTGGAAATTTCATGCTCCTTTTGGAATCTTTCGAAATGTATTTGAAAGCTTCTGGGCATCATTTGCTCAGTTCCTCCAAATATTTTCCACCAGTCATAAAACCATCTGGGAATGACTGATTTCATCATTTGTTCGCTGTATTTTACGAACCAGATATGGGTATTTGGGCGTAGTATATAAAGTTATACCATGCTTATGTATAGTCAACGAAATTATAGGTTTGAGGCATATGTTGTTTTGATAGCACAATCGGGGTATTGCAAGTGGTCCATACACCATTCAAAAAGGCTAATAATCTTATTAATAGTGAACTTTGAGTGTTTAATACTATTGGGGTCCATGTTATCTTTTAACTCATGTTCTATTGATATTGATCCTGTATCTATCAGGATAAATTCATAGTACCTTCTTGTTTTGAGAGGGTCAGTGGACTCTACGTAATTCCTGTTGGTATAACAAGGTCTAACCAAATCTCTTATTTCGAGATTTGTGTAACCGTTGTCTAATACCAAAATCATGATTGGCGACTTGGGTATGAGTTCGAAATTTTCCTTCTCTTGAGAGATGGGCTTTTTACCTTTTCTCTTAGAGGGAGTGTTTGGGCTTACCGCTTGTGCAAAAGATTCTGGGGTATTCATCTCGTAGTGTGAACTGGTTAACAGTTTACCTGTCATTGAGCTTGTTGAGGCCTTTGATGAAGCCTGTTGTAATGGTGCTTCTATTCTTGGTATAGAATCGATAATTGTCATCTTTGATGATGCTGGTTTATTTATAGTAGGTACTCTCGGAGGGGTAACCATTTTATGTGAAGGTGGTCTCACGAGTAGGGATGTAAGGGAATCGAACTAATTGTTCGAAGACTCGGGAGAGACTTTCTGTTTAAGAATACCACCGTACCCTACGTCTGAAGCGTCGATTTCTACTATCATAAATGTATCTCGATTTGGAATACATAGACACAAAAGTTTTTGAACAAACTCAATTCCATTGTGGAGTATAGAACAAACAAATACAGTTAAAAAGGTCAAGTCCATTGTTCAAAAACTTTTGTGCCTAGGTATTCCAAATCCAGATGCATTCATGATAGTAGAAACCGACGATTCAGACGAAGGGTACGGTGGTATTCTTAAACAGAAAGTCTCTCCCGAGTCTTCAGAACAATTAGTTCGATTCACTTTCGGAATCTGAAATTTCGCTCAAAAGAATTATAGTACAGTCAAAAAAGAAATTTTGTCTATAGTACTATGTATTACTAAATTTCAAGATGATTTAATTAATAAAGAATTTTTACTAAGAGTTGATTGTAAATCAACAAAAGCGATTTTATGAAAGGATGTAAAAAATCTTATTTCAAAATAGATTTTTGCGAGATGGCAAGCTTTATAGCCTAAACTTACCATGCATATGCAGACGAGGAATAAATATTTTTCCCCTTCACAAAGAAGACAGATGCCCCTTCATCAGCCGACAAAGACAGCTTTTTCAAAAGCAAACTACTCTTCAAAAAATGAAAGAGTCACTTGACAACGACAACCATAAAAGGACAAGAATAGTAACTTGCCTCTTCAGCTAAGCAGAAGACGACCCTTCAACAAAGCAAAAGACATCAATCTAGAATCGTCTATTTATAAGGTTGAGATTATATCAACAATTTTCAGAAGTATATATAAGACTTTCAAATTCTAATCGTTAGAGATCAGAAAATTTCCAAAGATTTTCTTTCTATCCTTTCTCTGCCCTTTTTGTAAAATGTTTGCTTATGTTTGAATAAAGCTCTTATCTTGTAAGTGTTTTTGACTTATGCTTTAAATTTCACTTTTATTATATAGTTTTCATTATAAAACCCATGATCCTTTCAATGGTGTCAGAGCCATGTTGTTGAGTATGAGAGGCTAAACCCCTCATATTATCCTTAGGGTTCGTCAAAAGCTTGTTATCATGTTGATGTTATGGATCTTAATTACTCTATATTATTCATCTCTGCATATATTTACTGTTCATCTTCTTTAAATCTTCAGATCTTATTCTGTAGTGTGAGGTTATCGTTCTATGTTCATAAGTGTGAGGGATCCTTGTAGGATGTTGATTAAACCTTATTAAACTGCCGTCAGTTGCCGTCGTCCATAGGCTAGGGAGTGCCTCCAGAAACATGACATAACACGACACACGTTTAATCCCCAACCCCCAAGATAACTTAGAACTAAGAACACAACTAAAGATAACTTAAGATAAAGATCAACAAGGGAAGAAGAAGATAAATAGTAGACACTATACAGTTAGGAACATTATAGAACTGTTAAGACAAATAATACATAATAGGATAACAGAGAAAGTAGACTTGCGCCTTAAGGCTAGGCCTATCCAAATGAACCATGATCTCATGGAAATTTGCAAGAAAGAAATTAATGATCTCCTTAAAAAGAAGATTATAAAACCATCAAAATCACCTTGGAGTTGTGCAGCTTTCTACGTTAATAATAGCGCAGAAAAGGAAAGAGGAGCTCCTAGGCTTGTTATTAATTATAAGCCATTAAACAAAGTCCTACAATGGATTAGTTACCCGATACCTAATAAAAGAGATTTGTTAAAAAGAACTTATAAAGCTAGCATATACAGCAAATTTGACATGAAGTCAGGTTTCTAGCAAATAAAGATTAGCGAAAAAGATAAGTATAAGACTGCATTCAATGTCCCCTTTGGACAATATGAATGGAATGTTATGACTTTCGGGTTAAAGAAAGCCCCCTCAGAATTCCAAAACATCATGAATAACATATTTAACCCATATAGTAATATGTCAATTGTTTATATTGACGACGTTCTAATATTCTCAGAGGATATAGATTCTCATTTTAAACATTTAAATACTTTCTTAAGTTATCAAAAGCCCACATCTGTAATGATGGAATCTCCTTTATAAATGATTTTGTGGTAACTAGGGATATAGATGAAGAAATTATCCTAGGAATGATATTTATAACCCAGATTAAACCATATCATGATAACTTGAATGCAATTTGCACCACAATATTAGGAAAGAAAATAAAATTCCTTTATCTAAATTCCATTTCCAAAGAGGAAAGTGACTTCCTCAAATCAAAAACTATATTTAAAATAAACCTGCTTTCAAATAAGGTAAATTATTTAAAAAACGATATAAAAGTTCACAAAATTGAACAAACTTTAAAAACCCTGGGAATGGAGGAAAAGATTAAACATTTTCAAGAAAAATTCGGGTCCATGTTATCTTTTAACTCATGTTCTATTGATATTGATCATGTATCTATAAGGATAAATTCATAGTACCTTCTTGTTTTGAGAGGGTCACTGGACTCTACGTAATTCCTGTTAGTATAACAAGGTCTAACCAAATCTCCTATTTCGAGATTTTCGTAACCTTTGTCTAATGCCAAAATCATGATTGGCGACTTGGGTATGAGTTCGAAATTTTCCTTCTCTTCAGAGATGAGCTTTTTACCTTCTCTCTTGGAGGGAGTGTTTGGGTTTACCGTTTGTGCAAAAGATTCAGGGGTCTTCATCTCGTAGTGTGAACTAGTTAACAGTTTACGTGTCATTAAGCTTGTTGAGGCCTTTGATAAAACTTGTTGAAATGGTCCTTCTATTCTTGGTATAGAACCAATAATTGTCATCTTTGATGATGAGGGTTTATTTATAGTGGGTACTCTCGGAGGGGTAACCATTATATGTGAATGTAGTTTTACGGGTAGGGATGAAAATTCTGCTAGTGGGGAATATCTATTTCCTTGATTTTTATTGGGTGAGGCCCTAAAGGGACCCGTCTTGCTTGGTCTCATTCTTTCCCTGTAAGAATTCTCTGGTTAAAAATTCTGATAAATAATTTTTTTCACCTTTAATAAAATCAGTTTGAAAATCGAAGATTGATAAGAAAGCTTGCCATCTGGCAAAAATCTGTTTTGAAATAAGATTTTTTACATCATTTTGTAAAATCTCTTTTGCTGATTTACAATCAACTTGAAAGGATCATGGGTTTTATAATAAACAATTATAAAATAAATGCGAAATTTAAAGCATAAGTTAGAAACACTTACAAGATAAGAGCTTTATTCAAACATAAGCAAATATTTTACAAAGAGGGAGAGAAAGGATAGAAAGATAATCTTGGAATTTTTTTTGCTCTCTAACGATTACAATTTGAAAGTCTTATATAGACTTCTGAAAATTGTTCGAGTTAATCTAACCTTACAAATGGATGATCCTAGATTGATGTCTTTTGCTTTGTTGAAGGGTCGTCTTCTGCTTAGCTGAAGAGGCAAGTTACTATTCTTATCCTTTTGTAGTTGTCGTTGTCAAGTGACTCTTTCCTTTTTTGAAGAGTCGTTTGCTTTTGAAAAAATTGTCTTTGTCTTTGTCGGCCGATGAAGGGGCATCTGTCTTCTTTGTGAAGGGGCAAATTGCATCCAAGTTATCATGATATGGTTTAATCTGGGTTATAAATGGCATTCATAGGATAATTTCTTCATTTATATCCCTAGTTATCACAAAATCGTTTATAAAGGAGATTCCATCATTACAGATGTGGGCTTTTGATAACTTAAGAAAGTATTTAAATGTTTAAAATGAGAATCTATATCCTCTGAGAATATTAGAACGTCGTCAATATAAACAATTGACATATTACTATATGGGTTAAATATGTTATTCATGATGTTTTGGAATTCTGAGGGGGTTTTCTTGAACCCGAAAGGCATAACATTCCATTCATATTGTCCAAAGGGGATATTGAACGCAGTCTTATGCTTATCTTTTTCGCTAATCTGTATTTGCTAGAAACCTGACTTCATGTCAAATTTGCTATATATGCTAGCTTTATAAGTTCCTTTTAACAAATCTCTTTTATTAGGTATCGGGTAACTAATCCATTGTAGGACTTTATTTAATGGCTTATAATTAATAACAAGCCTAGGAGCTCCTCTTTCCTTTTTTGCACTATTATTAACGGAGAAAGCTGCACAGCTCCAAGGTGATTTTGATGGTTTTATAATCTTCTTTTTAAGGAGATCATTAATTTCTTTCTTGCAAATTTCCATGAGATCATGGTTTATTTGGATAGGCCTAGCCTTAAGGCGTAAGTCTACTTTCTCTGTTATCCTATCATGTATTATTAGTCTTAATAGTTCTATAATGTTCCTAACTGTATAGTGTCTACTATTTATCTTCTTCTTCACTTGCTGATCTTTATCTTAAGTTATCTTAGTTGTGTTCTTAGTTCTAAGTTATCTTAGGGGTTGGAGATTAAACGTCGTGTCCTGTTGTGTCCTGTCTCTGACGGCGCTCCCTAGCCTATGGACGACGATAACTGATGGCAGTTTAATAAGGTTTAATCAACATCCTACAAGGATCCCTCACACTTATGAACATAGAACGATAATCTCACACTACAGAATAAGATCTGAAGATTTAAAGAAGATGAACAGTAAACCTATGCAGAGATGAACAATATAGAGTAATTAAGATCCATTACATGAACATGATAACAAGATTTCGACGAACCCTAAGGACAGTATGAAGCGTTTAGCCTCTCATACTCAACAACATGACTCTGATACCATTGAAAGGATCATGAGTTTTATGATGAAAATTATAAAATAAATGCAGAATTTAAAGCACGAGTTTTATAATGAAAATAAAATGTTTGCTTATGTTTGAATAAAGCTCTTATCTTGTAAGTGTTTCTGACTTACGCTTTAAATTCCGCATTTATTTTATAATTTTCATTATAAAACCCATGATCCTTACATGGAAAACTTCTTTGTTTCTACTACAGTAAACATATGAAATTTGAGGTGTAACTCCATATATATTTTGTAAGTGTTAAACACTACCTCTTGATCGAACATAATCTTGAGACCTTGTTCCAAATTGTATGGGAAAGAAGAGAACCAGAATCAGTACACTGAATATCAACAGACAAGATATTGTTAGTTGAATAAGATAGAAAAATAAATACGTAACAGCGATTAAAGAAAACAATACCTTTAGTTCTTAAAAGGCTTGTTACATTATTGGTGTATTACTTTATTGCATTATGAACTATAATGAAGGATTTCTTTTCTTATTTTAAATTTTTTGTGGGTCACTGGCCAATTATTGTTATAAAAAAAGATCTCAGCAATAATATATTCATTGTTGTATGGGTACAGGGGTGATATCGCATTTTGTAGTATGGAGTGTAGGGAACAACAAATGAAGCAAGACGAAAGGAAAGAGAAGTCCAATAAGCTTAATTCAAACAAGACAGAAAACCATCACAATCACTCAGAATTTCCCTCTGCTAACTCTGAAACTTCCAGCAAGAGCGAAACTATAGCAGCAGCTTGAACGAAGAAGGAAAAAAGAATGGTAAATGGAAAGAAAGCTATGAAAAGTTAATATATATATCCATGCACGTAAGGAATATGCTATTGATTGGGTTTTAGGGGTTTTGAGTTTCCATTTACCTTTGTGGCTTCAGCTATGTCCAATGTATTTGTAAGTGGACAAAAACTTTTTTTAAAAAAAGGACCTGAAAATAGTGTAAACTTATAGTAGCACATATTCTTAAAGTAAAAATAACAGTATATAGTTTTGTTGATGGACTAGTAAACTTCAAACAGCCTCCACAACCACAAGATCATTTCCTTATTATTACTTAAATAATAAATCAATAAATAGGACATGCTTCCCCATCAATTTCAATTATAGATGAAAGGAGAAAAAACATAGCTTAAAAAGAGCAAAAAGAAAGAATTGAGAGAAAAAAACTAGATTAACGCATTGTATTTCCAATAGAGAAAGGCGTTGCTGGCTCTAAATGAGCCAAAGCAACACGGATACAACCTTGTAAATAGAAGGCCAACATACAAAGACAACAAAGAAATTTTAATGACATTCAACTTGGCCTGCCATTAAACAACAGCTATATATACCTTAGAAAGGTTGCTGACATTTAGCTAGCTAATTATAGTAGTTAGTACTAATGAAAGAAAATAGATTACAAAAACTAAAGAAAAGAAAGAGAATATGGTTCTTCTGCTGTACATTGCAACTTATGAACTAAAACATGCTAGTTGCACATTGCTGCTTTTGGTGCTATTTTAACCCAAAAAAATAGTATAAGAGAGAACTTACTAGAGGAGCCATAGTTGCCACGGGATGGAACTTTGAAAAGAGTGGAAATTAGACTTACCCTGATTATAAGACATGATTCATGTAATTTAATCAACTGGCACTTGAAAGCCTTTGTAACTAAGTGTGATGTTATAAATAAAAGTCAGTGAAAAAGAAACATAACTTTCCTTCAGCAAGGAGGACCTTATCCAAGATAATTGGAACAGCTAAAAGAGAGTCCTCAAAATTAATATTATGAAGATAATGTGTTTCTATAAGCTCTGAATTCCATATCATCATTATATTGTTCATTTGAGACCTTTCCTATCCAGATCCAGACCATCTGCTAATACACATCATAGAACACACTTTAGAACAAAATTGGATACTTATTCTACGTGAATGTAAAGGGAAAAGGATGGCGGACTGATAATCTCGATACTGAACATCCTTCTCCATGATAATATTCAATAAGTTTGTATTTTAAGCTTCCTCCAAGCAAAATCCATATATCATATATATCATGAATTCCACAGCTCTTGTTTTTGCCACTGACTCTCCACGTATTGACAGAAACCAAACTTCTATCAATAAGATCTTTCAAATATTTATCTGCAGTCATTTCGAAGTCAAAAGACGCATTTAAATAGGAAGGGCACCTAAACTAGCATACTTAGCAACCTCTGCGTTCCGAGTAGTCAGTATATATCATTCGACTTCCATTGCTGTTGAATGGAAAACACATTCTTATATCAACAATTACAAATTAGTACCTTCTACCTTGAAGTAAATCTGCAAGTTCTCCATCATTCTTCTCATCAAGTCCTTCACTCCTTGACGAAGTGTAATGAAGGAGGCCAAGGTATAAATTTCGCAGTTGATATTCTTGCGAAACAGTGATCATTGCACGAACATTGAAATGAGACATTATCAATGGTTCATTGAAAATCCTTGTTGGGAAAGTTGTCTTGCCGATTCCTACTAGGGAGATAACTATCAGTTCTCCAAGGCCTCTTCTAACAAGTTGATCTTGCATCTTCTCAAGTTCATAGTCATCATACACCATTATGTTCTTTGGCTCTAAAACATGTTGTGACGATTAGATAAGAATCAAACACAATAACAACTATGGAAACATAACCGGAAACTTCAAACAGAATCAAATGTTAACCTTATGGGCAGGCAGGTCAAGGTCCTTGTTCTCCCACTATCACCAAGTAAAAAAGTTTGTTGGTTTTGGGTATTTGGTGTTTCCGTACATGTTCTTCGTCTTCATCAACTCACCCTTGTTGAATCAACATTTTCAATCACCTGCTGCAAGCATTCACAAATAGTTCTTCGTCTCCTCCTGTAAGGTGTGATTGGTGTTCAAGAGATAAGGACAGTGTTGCCATGAAAGAAGTTATGGCAACATAAGCCATCTTTATCTCCTTCTCTTCAGTCCTATGTATTGTTATGCTGCAAATTTGATTAAAAAGATTTGCAAGAAATACAACTATTTCACCTCTCTCAAACAAGATAAAGAAGACTATATAGCTTCTTGATACAAACGTTGCTATTAGGATAATAAGAGAAATATAACCTCTGGATATGTTCGAATATGCTAGCAAGAATGATAATTGAGCATAAATAATTGAGATACTTTAATTTTTATCTTCAGTTTTCTTACTTCTTGTTCCTTTTGATTTCCTGCTCTCTCTCTCTCTCTCTCTCTCTCTCTCTCTCTCTCTCTCTCTCTCTCC